AGAAGCAAGAAGCAGGCAGGTAAGTTGCAGAGCCCCCCCCCGGCCCTCCTTCAGGTACAAGCTCTCCCTCCTCTGTGAGGGCAGATCTGCGCATTTCTCACCCCCCCCCCCAAATAGCTAGCAATCCAAAACAGTCCAGTGGAGCCTGAATGGTGGGTATTGCCTTCTGACCCACTTCTGGTGATGTCAGGGGGTGTGACCTATGCAAATGAGTTATGCAAATGAGTTATGCTAATGAGCTCCTGCGCCTCTTTTTCTACGAAAGGACCCCTGCTGACAAGGATGTACACAATGCACTTTATAGAATAATAGCTATAAACAGTGCACATTAATTTACAAAATGTTCTTGCAGTGTATATTTATTTGTTACTTGACTCTCCTAAGCACTGCAGCTTGGGTCGCTACACCCACCTGGAGGCTGGTAACTCTGCTGAACACATCCCTATTTCTCACCTTCCCTCCGAAGCACCACTGTTATTCCAGACGGACTCACCTGCAGCCTGACTTTTGCCGTGTCCAGGGGGAAGGTACAAAGGTCTGCTATGCACCCCGCCGTCCCGGCACTGAGGAATTTGACGGCCGCGGAGGGAGGGATGTCCGTGGGCTTCAGACCCACCATCCTGCTCGGAGGGATGGAGGAGTTTGGGCTCCCGAGGAAAAAGAGACTCTTCAGGTGACGCTACATTCAGGTAGCGGCTGCCGAGCGAGAAGTCGGTTGCGGGATAAGAAAAAGTCTGAGAGAGGAGGGGAGAAAAAAGACAAACTGAATCAACGTCTTCCTGGATCGTGACCTAATTAACCGCAATCAAAGAATGGTCTACATTTTATTTATTTGCTTATACCCCACCTTTCCCCCCAGGGGGCACCCAAAGCAGCATATATATTATTATCCTCTTCTCCATTTTATCCTCACGACAACCCTGTGAGGTAGGTTAGGCTGGGGGAGTGTGACTGGCCCCAGGTCACCTGGCAAGCTTGCAGGTTCCTTTTTGTAATCCGAATTAGGATGCCTGAGGACTAGCACCTTGGTTGTCATCCGGTCAGAGCTTGAGGTCTTTACTCTGCTTAAACAGAGGCTTATTGATATAGAGTTGCAAGAGCTCAGAGCCCTTGCCTCCGGAAGGTGCTCCTCAGTAAGGTGGGCCTATCCCCTTTCTGGTGCTCTACCATATTACTTTTTCTGCCTGACCTCACCGCAAATGTGTAGAGCTTATCTGTTGGCCCGTCTTAATGTTCTCCCCTCTGCTATTCTTGAGGGGAGATATAAGCAAATTCCTTATTCAGTCAGGTTCTGTGGATGTCATAGAAGAGAAATAGAAACTGTTGAGCACGTACTCTTACACTGTAAATTGTTAAATGACATTCGAGTGGAATTTATAGAAGCCCCCCTTAGGTTGGTAGCAGGCCAATCAGATAGAATCAAGGTACAATTTCTCCTTGCTTCACGAGATCCGGAGATCATTGAACTGACCGCTAAGTTTCTCCATGGTTTTATAAAACGGAAGAGTGACCCTGACCATATTAATGATTCTTAATTTATAAGTCTAAAAACTTAAGTTTAAAAGTTTAGAATGCCAATTTATTTTATGATTCAGGCATCTTTTGTATGGTCAAATCTAGCTTGTGACAACTTGAGTTAAGCCTGACATAGCCACGACTATCTATTTTATAATTTCTTTTGGATTGTATTATTGGTAAATGCTTCTAATATTGTATGCCAATAAAAGGTATTTTAATTTGAATTTGACTAGCACCTTGGTTTCGTGCCAAATGGAGGAACGCGGGCCACATTCCAGGAAGAGGAGCTACTCGAGGAACACGTCGGCTGGCTTCTCGCACACTGACCGGATAACCTCTCATCTCGGAAACATCACACACCTTGTTAAGTCGCTCGCTTAACAAAGCAGTCAGAGAGTGATTCAGTAAGAACACAACTTTATTCTTCAACTCGAGCACAACTCCAACACGGATCGACATCGGATAGCCAGAAGAGCCTTTACATTGCAACTGTCCTGCTTTTAAACGTCCCCGGCTCATGTAGCCACACCCACTGTACAAATACCAACCAATAAGGTTGTTCACATAAGGACCAATCACGGATGCTCCCGCTCAGGGAGCTTGCTTGAAAGTGATTGGTTAGGTGCTTCCTGGGCGAGTAACAAGATTGGATGGATTTAGATCCTAGCCCAGGACGAAGCTTTACTTCAATTAGATGTTTCACAACATATCATGCATTCAAGGCAGCTTTGAATACACTACAGTCCTGTTTCTGAGGCTTCGGGGACATACCCTCTAGCCGGTAGGGTAGCCAACAGGCCTGGAGAACTGTTAAGTATGAGCAGGGCTATTTTTGGGCAGGAACGCACAGGAACGGAGTTCCGTCTGGCTCCCGAGTTGGCCACGCCCAGCAGGAACTGATTAGCATAATAGGCCACACCCAACAGCAGGAACTCATTAGCATAATAGGCCACACCCAACAGCAGGAACTCATTAGCATAATAGGCCACACCCAACAGCAGGAACTCATTAGCATAATAGGCCACACCCAACAGCAGGAACTCATTAGCATAATAGGCCACACCCAACAGCAGGAACTCATTAGCATAATAGGCCACACCCAACAGCAGGAACTCATTAGCATAATAGGCCACACCCAACAGCAGAAACTCATTAGGATTGGCTACGTTAGGGGTGTGTGGCCTAATATGCTAATGAGTTCCTGCTGGGCTTTTTCTACAAAAAGAGCCCTGATGAGGCTTCAGGCAGCTCTTAAACAAGTGATTCAGCTTTATTAGAGCATATCAGAAAACAACTCAAAAACATGAGAGCAACAGGCTCTCTTTTAAACTCTGTGCTTGTATAACCACACCCACCGTTGAGTTAAGAACCAATCATAACGCGAACATAAAGACCAATGAGCTCAGCTCCCTCCACAATCGTTCTTGGGTTCTGATTGGTCTACTGCGCAGAGGAGCCAATCAGAATGTGTACTTTACAATACCAGCTTCAGATTGCTGAACAGACGAAGTTTCAGACATGCATGCACCATACATAACAAGAACAGTGTTCTGTAAGACGGGCTTCAAAGTGTGTGAAAATGGGCATTTTAAGCTTTGGCAACGCATGTCAATAACATCACCTGGCAGACAACATCCCATGGACAGTAGAAAAGAGCAAGAGCCCAGAAGCACCTTGAAGAGTCTTCAAGAAAGCTCCTCTTCAAGAAAGCTTTCTTGAGTCACCGAAGAATCTGAGGAAGTGAGCAGTGACTCACAAATTTTGCTAGCTTGAAGGTCCTGGACTTTGTCTCTTTTCTACTGCTACAGACAGACCAACACGCAGGGCTTTTTTTTGTAGGAAAAGCCCAGCAGGAACTCATTAGCATAATAGGCCACACCCAACAACAGAAACTCATTAGTATATCCAGCCACACCCATGAGAGCATAGCTCATTAGCATATTAGGCTGCACCCCCAAGAAGGAGGGCTCCAGAGGAAACTAATTTATGCAACAGCAAAGTCGTTTGCTCACAACTTTAATGCTAGTAGCTCACAAGGTAGGGTTTTTGCTCACAAGACTTCACAGCTTAGAGGGAGCATTGGTGGAGAGCCTCTAACCTTTCTCATTCTGTAGCATTTCCCACAATCCAGCCCCCAAACCTTTTCCAGCACATAGAAGACAGCCAGTGTTAGCGGCTAGTGTGTTAAATCCAGCTCCACAAGGCCTGGATTCAAAACCCTACTCAGCCACAAAGCTCGTGATGTGACCTGCAGCCAGTCACTCTTGACTTATCCTATCTCACAGGGTCGTTGTGAAGATAAAATTGGGAGGGAACTAAGCATGTGAACTTCAGCTCCTTAGAGGAAAGATGGGCTAAACGTGTACGAGACAAAGTTAGAGTCCAGTGGCACCTTTAAGACCAACGAAGTTTTATTCAAGATGTGCGCCTTCGTGTGCACGCACACTTTGTCAGACGATGAAAAGGAATTGCATATCATAGTTGTATACATAGCTGGCTTGTTAAATTAGTATGCAGAATAGTGAAAATAGCTTGTCATTCCCTTTGATCGGTTGTCGAAGGCTTTCACGGCCAGAGTTCATTAGCTGTTGTAGATTTTCCGGGTTGTCTGGCCGTGGTCTTGGGATTCTAGGACCTGACGTTTCGCCAGTAGCTGTGACCAACATCCTCTGCGTTATATCTCTGAGGATGCCAGTCACAGCTACTGGCGAAATGTCAGGTCCTACAGTGCCAAGACCACGGCCAGACAACCCGGAAAATCTACAACAGCTAATTAAGAACATAAGAGATGCCAATGATGGATCAGGCCAAAGGCCCATCCAGTCCAACACTCTGTATCACACAGTGGCTAAAAATACCAGTGCCATCAGGAGGTCCACCAGTGGGGCCAGGACACTAGAAGCCCTCCCACTGTTGAACCCCCCCCCCCCAAGCACCAAGATGACAGAGCATCACTTGCCCCAGAGCCCCTATCTATACCTTGTGGCTAATAGCCACTGATGGACCTCTGCTCCACATGCTTATCTAATTCCCTTTTGAAGCTGTCCATGCTTGTAGCCGCCTCCACCTCCTGTGGCAGTGAATTCCAAGTGTTAATCACTCTTTGGGTGAAGAAGGACTTCCTTTTATCCGTTCTAACCCGACCGCTCAGCAATTTCATGGAGTTCTTGTATTGTGAGAAAGTGAGAAAAGTACCTCTTTCTCTACCTGCTCTTTCCCATGCATAATCTTATAAACCTCAATCATGTCACCCCTCAGTCGTCGTTTCTCCAAGCTAAAGAGCCCTAAGCGCCTTAACCTTTCCTCATAGGGAAAGTGTTCCAACCCTTTTATCATTCGAGTTGCCCTTTTCTGCACTTTTTCCAAAGCTATAATAACCTTTTTAAGGTGTGGTGACCAGAACTGCACACAGTTCCTTTGATCTGTTTAAAAAAACATTCCCACTATTTTGCATGCTCATTTAACAAGCCAGCTATTTCACCGTCTGACGAAGTGTGCGTGCCACACGGAAGCTCACACCTTGAACAAAACTTGGTTGGTCTTAAAGGTGCCTGACTGGACTCTAACGTCATTCTATTCAGACCAACAAGGCTGCTCACCTTGACGTGGACTAGACAGACAGACAAAAAAACGCATCCCTTACTTAGGAGATTTTTTCCTCCGAAAGCTGTCTTCTCGAATCCCTTCTGACCAGGTTTGAGAATATCCCTCTCGGAAGGTGGATCCAGAAATGTTGGAAATACAGAAATGATCAGCGCGGGGCTTGTCCATCCATTTCAGTTATCCATTGGTACTCCGATTCACTTCATCCATGCTGTTGTCTGTTCTCTTATTTATAGAGACCTGCCGGGGTGGGGGGGCTAGGGGTGGAATTGGAGCTCGATGGGCAGACGGCTGAAAACAGAGATCATTTCTCCAGGTCAGGAAGTGTAAGAGCACAAACACGACCGATCTCTCCCCTGCAAGCAGGTTTAAAATAGAACTGGCCTTTTAAAACTTGGTAATATTCTCAGAGGCATTACCTACTCTTTCCACTGTATGTTACCTTCGGTGTGTTTACCGCACATGTGCCAGAGAGTGCGGGGGGGGGGGCGCAATGTTCGAACATTTCTGAGTAGAGGGGGGGATCCTATTACCAGTTTTCCATTGCAAAGTGATTCGTGGTCTCGCTGAGTTCAGCCTCACAACAGGCGGGTAAGGTAGGCCTCTACTGATTCCCGTTTTAGGGACAGGACGGCGGAGGCTGAGAATTGTTCTGTAGCAGAGAGAGGGCAGGAAACCAGTTTGGTGCAGTGGTTAAGTGCGCGGACTCTAGTCTGGGAGGACCAGGTTTGATTCCCCACTCCTCCACTTGCACCTGCTGGATGACCTTGGGCAAGCCGTAGTTTGACGAGAGCTGTTCTTGAAAAAGAGCCATTTCTGTCAGAGCTCTCTCAGCCCCACCTACCTCACAGGGTGTTTGTTGTGGGGAGGGGAAGGGGATTGTAAGCCGCTCTGAGACTCCTCTGGGTAGTGAAGGGTGGGGTATAAATCCAATCTCTTCTCTCTTCTTCTTTTAAAGTTGTTGTCAGGTAGCCCTGTCATAGGTCTGGAACGTGGAGGGGTGGCCCTCCCGTTTTCTGTCTCAGCTCTCCCTGGCTCACCAACTGTTTGCTATCTTATGCTTGACCTTGTAGATGCTCCAGCTGCAGTTTTACTCAGCTGGGAAAGTTAACGGCTTTTGCTTTGCCCGCGCGCGTGAGATGTATCCATTGGCTCATGCTTGGGGATGTTTGATTCTAGTATAAGCCAGAGGCCCCTAGTATTGGCAGCCATTCCTGACACAAGCTGTACACGTGTCTCTAGTACTGGATTTACCAATAAACAGTTATCTTCTCATGAAGCCCTGTGCTGCGTAACCTGACTAAGGACCCTGACAGTTGCGAGCGAGTGATTTCGCTTAGTTTGCTCTGGAGCCATCCTTCCTAAGCTAAGACAAAAATGTGTGAGACGGAGGCTAAAAAACGGTGAGCTAGCTCACCCTAACTCAGCTTAGAGGAAACACTGCTCTGGAGATCAGTTGTGATACCAGGAGATCTCCCGGCCCCGGCTGGAAGTTGGCAACGCTATCAGCGGACCATATCGAATTTTTCTGCTTCTATTTCTTCTTATTATTAACGAGGGGGAAGGAAGGGAAATTCTTAGTTGGGGATTTTATTTTTCACTGTAGTACTGTAATACCTAAGAATCAAATGAAGGGTACATTTCAAAGTGATGTTGGTGAGAATAATTGTAATAATTCATTTAGCCTCATCAATGGACATGGTGCATTACAGGTTGCGGGAATTCAAAAAAAGGTCTGGACTCCAAGAAACTGGCCTTCTAACATTTCAGAAGAGAACAGAGCGAGGAAACAATCGACTAAAGAATCTATCAAGGATGAATATCTACAAAAGAGATGGAGTCACGAAGGTCAGATAACAGAGAGAACGGCTGATAAAATTATGAAAGGAATTGAAGAGATTAAAGTAACCAAATTTAAAGAACTGGAATACAAATTCCTCACAAAATGGTATAAGACACCAGCACAGCTAGCTAATATGATCCCAGGGCTGAGTTCTTTGTGCTGGCATTGTAAACAGTCTAAAGGCTGGTATTCCCACATGTGGTGGGAATGTGCAGATTGGAGAGAAATTACTGAAATCATTAGGAAAGCATGCAATGTAACATTACCTATAGACTTTAACCTAATGCTGTTAAGCACAATAAGAAGCCCGTTGTTGGATAAGAAAATTCAAAATCTAGTTAAGGCTATGATACTGGCAGGAAAGGCAGTGATCGCTCTGGGTTGGAAAGACAAAAGTAAATGGACAATAGAAATCTGGCACAACTATTTGTTTGATTTTATACAGTCAGACATCGTGGAAACAATCAACAAGGGAAGAACATGGGAAGAAAAATCCACGGAAATGAAGACCAGATGGAAGATCTATCTAGACTGGATGCGGAATGAAAGAAGGAAGGACATTCAGTGGAAGATTAAGACTCTGTGCCCTTGGCTGTGGGGAAGAGACTATGACTAAAAAAGAGGGAGGGAGGGAGGGAGGGAGGGGAGAAAATGTAAATAAATATAAACACTCAATGTAACAATTTAAACAAACAATAAAAAACATTTTTTTAAAAAAAGAATCTATCAAGGATAAAAAGCATTAATTCTTTTTATTTTTATGTTTATTGTCACATCTGTTGTGTTCCAGGTCAATAAAAGTTGTTGTTGTTCAGTCGCACCGACGAGTCCGACTCTCCGCGACCCCATGGACCAGATCACGCCAGGCCTTCCTGTCTTCCGCCGTCCTCTGAAGTTGGCTCAACTTCATGTTTGTTGCATCGATGACACTGTCTAACCATCTCGTCCTTTGCCGTCCCCGTCTTCTTTGACCTTCAATCTTTCCCAGCCTCAGGGTCTTCTCCAGTGAGGGCTCCCTTCTCATTTGGTGGCCAAAGTATTTGAGCTTCAGTTTCAGTATCTGGCCTTCCAGGGAACAGTCAGGGTTGATTTCTTTGAGGATTGACTGATTTGATCTCCTTGCCGTCCAAGGGACTCTCAAGAGCCTTCTCCAGCACCATAGTTCAAAAGAATCTATACTGATATATAAAGAAGAGAAGAGAAAAGATTGGATTTATACCCCACCCTTCACTACCTGAAGGAGTCTCAGAGCGACTTACAATCTCCTTTCCCTTCCCCTCCCCACAACAGACACCCTGTAAGGTAGGTGGGGCTGAGAGAGCTCTTTTCAGAACTGCGCTTAAGAGAACAGTTCTGAGAGAACTTGTGACTGACCCAACGTCACACACACAGCTGCCTGTGAAAGAGTGGGGAATCAAGCCCAGTTCTCCACATGCAGCTGCTGGTGTGACCTTGGGTCAGTCACAAGTTCTCTCAGAACTGTTCTCTTAAGCGCAGTTCTGAAAAGAGCTCTCTCAGCCCCACCTACCTCACAGGGTGTCTGTTGTGGGGAGGGGAAGGGAAAGGAGATTGTCAGCCGCTCTGAGACTCCTTTGGGTAGTGAAGGGCGGGGTATAATTCCAATCTCTTCTCCTCTTCTTCTTCTTCTCCTCTTCACACTTCCAAAATGCGTGACGTAAGTGTGGAGGCAAATGCCGTCCCTGGCTTAGCTCCAAGGGGAGAAGAGGTCATGTTCCGTGTCCCACGGTGGGGACAATGTCCTCCTTTGACTTCGGGGACTTTTCACATCCTAGCAAAGACCGGCCCCTTTCATATAACCTGCTGACTCCGAACGGTACATTTTCCTTATAAGTTGCCTTTTGCCGTAAGCCTCGGAGGCGCTCGTCTGGTCTAGCTGCCACCAGTTGGGCTATTAAAAATAGACTTTGTTGCTCCTGGGGGCTTAGGAAGACCCCCCCCCCCGCACCTGCTTCAGCTATTTACAGAAGTGGGCTGAGAAGACGGACACCGACCCGCAACTCTCCAGAAGAGACTGCGTTCATGTGCCCTTTGCTCCTCTTCTGGCTCACTCCTGTCATGTGCTTTCGTGGCACATGCCAATCAACCGATCAGTAGTTTATTACAGTCATGGACCAGTGGAATAGAACGCACGCTAGCGAGATGTTTGCAGGGATACGGTTCCAGAAACAGTATATAAAAAATAGAAAAGAGCAAGAGTCCAGGAGCACCTTAAAGGTAAAGGTTTCCCTTGCTCGAAAGCCAGTCGAATCCGACTGGACCCTTGCTCTTCTCTTCCAAGCCGAAGAGCCGGCGCTGTCCGAAGACGTCTCCGTGGGCGTGTGGCCGGCATGACTAAACGCAGAGGCGCACGGAATGCTGTCACCTTCCCACCGAAGCGGTAACCTATTTATCGACTTGCAATTTCCTGCTTTCGAACCGCTAGGCTGGCAGGAGCTGGGGCCAGAGACGGGAGCTCACTCCGTCACGCGGGACTCGGGTCTCGAACTGCTGAGCTACCGATCTCCCGGTCTGCAACTCAGCGTCTTAACCTCTGAGCCACTGTGGCCCCCAGGAGCACCTTAAAGACTAGCAAAATTTGTGGCAGGGTAGGAGCTTTCCGGAGCTGCGGTGGCTCAAGTGGTTAAGACGCTGAACTGCAGGCTGTGGAAGGTCAGTAGTTCAGCAGTTCGAGACCCGGGTGCCGCAAGACAGGGTGAGCTCCTGTCTCTAGTTCCAGCTCCTGCCAACCTAGCAGTTTGAAAGCAAGGAATTGCAAGTAGATAAATAGGTACCACTTGGGTGGGAAGGGAACAGCGTTCCGTGCGCCTTGGTGTTTAGTCATGCCGGCCACATGACCACGGAAACGTCTTCAGACAGCGCTGGCTCTTCGGCTTTGAAACGGAGATGAGCACCGCAACCCTAGAGTCGGTTTCGACTGGCTTTCGAGCAAGGGAAACCTTTACCTTTTTAGGAGCTTTCCTGAGTCACCACAGTCCTTTCTTCAGACACGGAGGTCCTCCCTGAATTTGGGTCTCCTCTCTGCTCCAACAGCCAGTGACGGACCCAGGGTTTTTTGCCCACTAGGCGAGGATACATTCTGGTGCCCACCCCGGGCAGGATGGCGGCGGGCACCAGAGCCGCAGCGGGCGGGCTGAGGGGGCGAGCTGCAAATGCATGCGGGGGGGGGATCGCTCAAGGGGAGGGGGCCTGTGCCAGGCTGCAAAAGGAGCTCCAAAGACACCGCGGGGACAGGGGCGGCCGAGGGCGAGCGGCACTTTCCCGTCATCCCGGGCTGTTCCCCACACCTGTGTCCCCCCCGCCTCCTCCTCCTCTTTCTGTCTGGGGA